TTATAATGGAAATCAAATTGCATTTGCTATGAAGCCTTCGTTTCTCTAAGGTATTAATCGTGGTAATAAACAGTTTTAAAGAAAAAAATAGTGTTGCCCTATTTACACATGACCTTATTCACTATTACATGTAAACTTCTATTTACACCTTGCGGTTTTTTTATATCCACCCCCGCGCAATAAATAAGCAATTATAACGATTTGAATGAAGAAAAAAAAAGGTTTTCAAAAGAATATGTATTATCACAGATACATGATTTTACTTTGAATATGTTACAACATGTACAATACTATGTCAGATTTCTAATATAAAAATAAGAAGGTGTAGACAACTCTGCACCTGAGACCAATATAAAAATAAGAAGATGTGGACAACTCTGCACCTGAGACCAATATAGAAAATAAGAAGATGTGGACAACTCTGCACCTGAGACCAATATAAAAATAAGAAGATGTGGACAACTCTGCACCTAAAACCAATGGCATAGAAGTTAACAACTATATAAACGTCATCGTACGGCCTTCCACCATGAGATAATTTTCTTCAACCGTTATTTTTTTTAAAACTAATGCATTTTATGACAAAAAACAAAAAGGAAAAACAATGTTTTAACGCCTGTAACTTTCGTAAATATATATGTAAAATGGCTTTTTCAATTCATTTAATCTTTCCCATACTCTCACGAAATTATCTTAGGTTTCAGTTGTAAAAACAACGTGTTTTGAAATATGTTAAAGTTAAGCAGTATTAACCACATATAGAAAAAAGGCAATATGTTGATATAATCAAAAGCAATCTCACATACACGCTTGGAATGTAAAGATAGACTTGTTGTTAATCAAAATAAATAAGGTGGGAGTTCCAACAAACCGCCATAACTTGACTGTCAACAATTAAGATTTCCTGTCGAAACAATTCCCCTCTATACTGAAGAAGAATAGTGCGTGACGCTCTAAACGTTAAATAATGTAATTATTATTTGCATGTTTGTAAGTGTTTCACAAGCAATTTTTCCAAAACGTTTTTTTAACTACATGTTAGTCCTTTTACTGATTTGCTGTAATTGATTGTTTGATTGATTTTGTTTTGCTAAATACGTCCAGTCGCAAATATTGCATGCATATTCAGGACGAGAACACATTTACAATACATACAATAAGCATGTCCTTTTGTCATGAACTATTAGTTGCTTCATAATATAATTTTCAAGGGGAAAAAAATTCTGTAATATTATTTCCACTGGAAGAAATATTACAGAATGTGTTCCCCATGGCATAAATGATATAAAATATTTGTTCCAAAAAGAACAGAAATTATGGCATCGTTTATAACAAAGTTTCCAATGGAACTTCTGTTAGTCGAAACAAACATATGTTGACACTTTATGTCACTGGAATTCAAACATCCCCCACAGCCAAACAAGAGCGCGAATATGCAAATATGTTGAATCATTTTGTCAAGATTAGTGTTACTATTACATACAAAAAAGTCAAATAACAAAAATACAAGGAAAAATTCAAAACGGAAAGTCCCTTATCTAATGGCAAAATCCAAAGGTCAGACACATTAAACACGAATGGAAAACAACTTTCATATTCCTGACTTGGTACAAGCATTTCCTTATGTAGAAAATGGTAAATTTTCCCTGAAAATAATAGAACAAACCAACCGCGAACATCCGAATCCTCCGAAAACAAATCGGGTACACCAACAAACACAAAAACTAAAAAGTATTCTAAAAATAATATTTGGTACAGGTACACAATGTGTTTGGGTACTTTTTCGTGTGCAAATACCTCTACTTTCCAATATCTTTACAAAATGTCGTTACAGTTAAAACACAATAAAAAACTACAAAGTTCAGGATGACCAATAATTTAAAGAATAAAACAAGTGCTCTCTACTACAGGAAGCTAACTTATATTCGGTTACTACAGCTGTTCCTCTGATTATACCGATATGGAGAAAACGTCATATACATCACGTGAATGTGATGAAGTTTCATCACACACTATAGTGAAAATCGGCTTTGTTTTGCTAGACAAGAAACGATTAATATAAGAAATGATAGTCTATCGGAATAAAGAAACCGTTTTGTTTGTTGAAGTACTGCACAGGAACACACTCCTATAATATATCATTAAGTCTCATCTTATAATTTAATCAAAATCAGATATATACATTTGCAAGAGTGCAGTATTTAAAATCGACAGACCATCGCATTAACAGAAAAGAAAGGATATGGTTTATCCATCTATGACACACAATCATTACATGCATGTAGTTAAAAACACAAAAAACAACGAAACGGCGCTTTTATTGCTCTTCTTCGACTTAAAGTAGTAGTGAGGCCTTCAACATGGGGCTAAAATATCACCTCATCTCAAGTTTTAAAAAAAATATTTTCACCGAGAAAGTGATTCTTTGATGTTGAAAGATTGAAGAAAATCATGAACTTAACTTTATCCGCTTGTTTGTAGTTCTATAAATGTCATAAAAATAAAAGGTAGACATGGAACTAATTTGTTTTCTTACAGGAAACACTATTTTCTTTTGCAAAGACTCACTTCTCTACCGAATTATTAAAATGTAAAAAAGCAAAAACTCCTAGAAAAGTTTAATAAATGAATAGAACATATAAACAATACTGCTAATATAAAAAAAAGATAACAATGAAAGCATTGCAATACAATTGAACGTGTCGAATTATGTTCAAACTGACCCGTCGGTATCGTGCTGGCGTGCCCGTCTTTGGTATGGGAGTTATTTTTCCAGGCCAATTAATAAAAAAGATGTCAGAGGAAAGACTGTTGGGCTCGCGGAGTCATATTAAAATGTTCGGCTTGTTTTGTGGACTATTTCAATGTACATTAGCATGTAAAAAAAAAAATACAGCTCAGCTTCTCAGTTTAGGTGAATATAAAATAAAATAAAGATAAACCAGAAAAAATAGGGGTTTTAATATATCACAAGGTTGTAGCATTTCTCTAAAATTTTATTTAAAGTTCGGCAACTTTTTCACGCTGAAATCCGGAAAGTGAGAACATATGAACAGAAAAAAACGAGCAACATTAACCCATCAAGCTCAAAAGAAGTAGAAAGCTTAGGGTCCTTTTTTTAATGGGCATTAGATCTGCGGACAGGGGACTCTTTATTTATTTATATAAATATATATGGATAGATTGATTTTTACTTTTTTACTTGTATATGTTTTATGGGATATGTTTTCCTATGGTTTTGTTTTTGAATTGTCTTTTGTGTATGTTTGCATTCATATAATTTGTCACAAACTTATTATTTAGAGTTTATATGACAATAACTATTTGAATTGAATTGAATTGATTTAATGAAAAAAAAACGTCTTTAACAAAAGCTTTAAATTCGAAATTGCAAGTACCCTCTCATTATTCAAAAATAGTTTGTTAAAATCATAGCTTTCACTTCAAAACTCCAAGCATTACTTTTACATGTTTAGTTAGATCCGAAAAACATAATACCAATTGGAATAAAATATGTCGCTGCTCGAAAATAAATCAGAATAAACTCAAACACTCATTAAATTGTTGTGAGTGTTTTGTATCGTTCTAATGAGATATATAGATTTTTTCAACTGATTATTTTAGTTTGAATTTATGTTGTGCTGTTAGATCACTATCCCGTGTTTAACCCGTCGATTACTTTGTTTTCCTTCAGAAGAATATTTACAATAAAACATAAAAAAAATGTATTACTTTTATAAAAAGCTGAAAAGGAATTTCATATCATAACCTCAACAAGATATTCCAGTGTTATCTCTGGCTGCGCACGCAGCCTGACTAGCCAATCCCTAAGATAATGCATGTTCCACGTGCATTTCCTCATTCTCTTACTGGCTAGCGTCGAGTGAAGAGCTCCAAGATATTCCCTGCTAATTAACAAACTGTTTTTATTGTTTTACTTTAGTGGGTTTTGGGATTTATTTTATTTTTTTCGCCGGGATTTTATATTGATTTTATATTAAATGTCGTCATGAGTGATTTAAAGGATGATGAGGTTTCATTAGAAGACAATAGTGCTTCTGGTGATTTAGCCGACGAACTCCATGTTGACCACACGGCCGACATTGAAGAAGCACGTGTTTCGCAGTTATATGTTCAAAGTGACAATAGTTTAACTGAAAAACACAAGAAGAAAAGGAAACGGCCAAAGTATGCCAAGCGTGATTTTCCTTCTGATTCTTCGGAGTCGGAGAGCGATGATTATTCCCACAGAAGGAAAAAATGTAAAGCCACAAAGTATGGCAGAAAAAGTAAAAAATCCTCAAAGAAGGATGACTTTTCTTCCGATTCTGAGTCGGACAAAGAAGTAAGGTCCGTTATAAGTGAAACTGTATCTAATTTAACATACAGTGACAAAAACGGCAACACAAGTTATCATCGTTTTAATCCTCACAAGAAGGAAAAAACAGGACTCTAGTTTTCCAAAGATATGGAATTATTTCTTGATGACAATTTCAATAGATTTATTCCTTCACATAAAGTTCAGGAATTAATTTTGAACACGATGCCCATCCCATCATGCGAGGGCTTTACTATCAGATCTATTGATCCATTGATTTTCTCTATTATGGAAGAACAAAGTCGTAGTACAAATACGCAATTGGATAAAGCTTTCGTCAGTATTCAGACAAAGCTTATAAACACCATGGGGCCTCTTGGTAACTTATGGATGTTATTTGAAGAAATTCGATCAAAAATCGATAAGGAGTGTGACGCTTCTAGTGCGCAGGCGCATGTTGACAATGTTGACTTCCGTCATGTTCTTGATCTGTTAGAGAAAACAATTTGTTTGGTAGGACAATCTAATGTTGCAATAAATTATCAGAGACGTTTGTCAATCCTTCAAGGAATAAACAATCAAGATTCAAAGAAAGCTAGATCATTTCTTAGAGACAAACAGGAATGTTTAGCAAAAAACGGCAAGCATCTGTTTGGAAGTGAATTCAAGAAAGAGCTGAAGGAATGGAGCAAAACAAAGAAAGAAGCTTCCGAAATGGCATTAGCTCTCGGAGGAAAGAAAAAGAGTCAGAAGAAGAAGGTGATCAACTATGACACACCTCGTCAGGTGCAACAAAGTCAACGATGGGAACAAGCGGAATCTCATCAAGACAAACCGCCCTTTCAGTCAAGGCCTCCGAGTCATTCACAGTGAGCAAGAAACGCAGGAGGCAGAGGCAACTCCCGTGGAAATGGTTTTCACAGAGGAAATAAAAGAGGTGGAATCAGGTTTATTACATTTTGTTTCAAATCTTTGTCATACAAAAAATATAGACAAAACAAACAATATTTTAATCTCATTGGAGAGTCTAAACCAAGTGACACTATTAAAACACATTCCTATAGCAGGAAGGTTAAAACATTTTGTAAAGAACTGGGAAATAATCACCTCAGACAAAAAGATACTAAAAGATATCCAAAACGTAGAGGTAAATTTTCAGTCACGTCCGATACAACTGAAAGATCCAAGAATGACTGAACTCAATCAAAACGAAAAACACCTGATGTCAACAGAGGTCAGAGAAATGTTGACAAAAGAAGTCATTGTACCAGTAAAACCATGCAGGGATCAATTCCTAAGCAATTGGTTCTTAGTACCCAAAAAAGTTGGGGGTCAAAGGCCAGTGTTAAACTTAAAACAATTAAACCAACATGTAATGTACCAACATTTCAAAATGGAGGGCTTGTTCATGATCAAAGACCTGCTAAAAGTGGGCGATTTCATGCTTAAAATAGATCTAAAGGAGGCATATTAAGTTTTGTCCATCAGTCAAAACCACAGAAAATTTCTGAGGTTCAATTGGGAAGGAACCATGTTCGAGTACACAGCCCTACCCTTCGGGTTAGCAGAGGGTCCAAGGTTGTTCATCAAAATAATGAAATCAGTAATAGGTATATTACGAATGATGGGTGTTCGAATGATCATTTATCTAGACGACATACTCCTCATGGCAGAAAACCCCCAAAAACTGGTAATTCACAGAAATTCAACATTATTTCTTTTCCAAAAATTAGGATTTCTGATAAATTGGAAAAAATCAAGCTTAAATCCAACTCAAAAGATAGAGTTTCTGGGTTTTCAGATAAATTCAGTAGAAATGATGTTCTATCTACCAACAGAAAAGGTATCTCAGATAAAAACAAAATGCAGAGAAATGTTAAGTGCAGACATTGTGACAGTAAGGCAATTAGCACAGTTGACAGGAAAGCTGTCATCCTCTATGCAAGCAATATTTCCAGCAAATTTGCAAAGTCGTTTTCTTCAAATGGATCAAATAAAGGGTCTGTTGAAGGGAAAGTCCTACGAACAAAAAATAATTATCTCACAAACAGCAAGAGACGAATTAATTTGGTGGGTAACAAAAATAAAAGAGTTCAATGGAAAGGCAATAATAACGCCTTGTCCAGATATTGTGATCACATCAGACGCCTCAAATTTAGGCTGGGGGGCTTCTTTTCAAGACGAAAGTACAGGTGGCATATGGGGAAAGCAAGAATCAAATTTCCATATCAATGCAAAAGAACTATTGGCAGCTTTTCTTGCAGTGCAAACATTCGCAAAAAGAAAGGCTTCATTTGGCCATTCATTTAAGAATAGACAATACTTCAGCAATATCATTCATAAACAGCTTGCGGGGGGGGGGGGGGGGGCACAAAATCAAAAGATTTAAATCAAATAATGAAAAACATGTGGAACTGGTGTCAGGCAAGGAAGATAAGTCTCACTGCAGAGCACCTCCCAGGGAAAGAAAATCTTATAGCAGACTGGCACTCGAGAAATATAAACGACTTCAGCGATTGGAGTCTAGATCAAAATATTTTTCAACAAGTTCGAGACCAAACAGGTCCCCTAGAGATAGATCTGTTTGCTTCACGACTATGTTTCAAACTGAAAAAAATTGTGAGTTGGAAACCAGATCCAATCAGTCATGCGATAGACGCATTTCTGACGCCATGGACAGCAATAAAGGACTATGCCTTCCCCCCTTTTTCAATGATATGTCACTGTCTTTCCAAAGCCAGGAAGGACAAGGCAACGTTATTAGTAATAGCCCCTGCATGGCAAGCACAACCATAGTATCCAATGTTATTGGAAATGTTAATACAAGAGCCAATAAAAATACCAATATTTCCAATATTGTGATGTCACCTCAGGGGGAACCACACCCACTGATTCAAACAGGGTCTCTCAATCTTGAAGCATGGAAAATTTCAGGGGACGAAGTACTACAGAGGGACTATCAAAAGCAGCTGCAGAGTTGCATGAAAAAGCATGGAGACCAGGAACCCAACTTTCTTACAAGAGCTTCTGGGGAAAATGGGTCAGCTAGTGTAGTGAACAATTAGTTAATCCTTTTCAGGCCCCTCTGGCCACTGTAATTGAATTCCTTACAAAATTGTTCAAATATGGTTTACAATATAGAACAATAAATACTTATAGGTCTGCAATTTCAAAGAATCATCCATTAATTGATAGTTTACAAGTAGGAAAACATCCTCTTATTATTCGACATATGAGAGCCATTATCAATGAAAGGACACCAACTTCAAAATATGAGTTTTCTTGGGATGTGATATTATCTTGAATGAAATTTTATCCTGAGGTACAAATCAAGTTTTAAACATTAAACACCTTTCATGGAAGTTAGTGATGTTGTTGGCTCTATCTTCAGCTGGTAGAGCATCTGAAATAGGCATGTTAAATTGTAAATATATGAAACAACAAGGTTCACAAATATTGATTAAGTTACCAAAACTAACCAAAACTTGTCGTCCTTGTTCTAAAACTAAATCAATAGCTTTCAACTCTTTCCCTAATGAAAAAAGTTTAAGTGTTGTTACTTGCATTAATGACTATATGTCTCGCACACAATCATGGAGAGAACAAGGCGATAATATTGATAGATCGTGGCTCCTTTTGAGTGTTGTTAAACCTCATCATCATATAGTTCCTTCATCAGTTGCAAGATGGTTAAAAGAGACAATAAAACAATCTGGTTTCTCATCCCTTTTTACTGGTCATTCGACACGTTAAGCCTCTACTTCAAAGGCAAAACGCGTTGGATTATCTACCCAAGATGTAATAGATCAGGCAAAATGGACAAATGAGTTTACTTTTATGAGATTTTACTGTAAACCTATAATTTCCAATAATTTTCAACAAGCAGTACTTACTAGGTAAGCTTTGAACTAACACTGGAATATCTTGTTGAGGCTATGATATGAAATTTGGAATTCTAATTTTATGAATAACCGAAACAAGATATGAAAGTGTTCCCTCCCTCCATCGCCTTTAATCACTTTCAATTTTATCGGTTATTCTATTTTATTTACTAGATATACTCACTATTCACATCGTACATTCTATCTCAGATCTGGGAAGTAGAACCAGGGAACAGGGATGAATTCCGAACAGTCCAAGAAGTATTGGGGGGACCAAGAAAGATTGATGACCAAGATTGGACCAGGATTATCAAAATAAATAATATTAAATGTTTTGCTTTGTTTAGAGTATTTTTTATTTCAGTGTTCTAAAATAGATAACACAAAAAACAAAAAAAATACACAAATGTTAACAGGTTTATAAAATCAACAAGAAGTACATAATTGAGAAATGTGGTATAATATAAATGAGACAATTATCCCCTGAAGGACATGTTTTCTTTAATTGGGTTTATTGTCAGTCGTTTCCTGAAGTTTTATTTTTAATTGATTTCGTTCAGCTTATGTTTAGATTTTGCAGTCAAATTCTTTTTTCTCTTCACTGGACACTCTTCAGTAAGAGAATGAGGAAATGCACGTGGAACATGCATTATCTTAGGGATTGGCTAGTCAGGCTGCGTGTGCAGCAGATATAACACTTTCATATCTTGTTTCGGTTATTCATAAAATTAGAATTTCATTTCGCACACTTCGTGTGCTTATGAAATTCCAAATTATTGTTTACGCTTGTATGTTTTGTTATGTTGTCTGTTTTCAAAGTTAGTGATTTATCTTTAAACTTTTATCACTAATTATTATATATATTAAAGTGGCAAGTGCAATTCGAGGGGTGAACGTACCGATTTAACGTCTGTTTCTAGCTGTGTTTAAGTGTTGAAGTACTTGACATATCTCTGCAGATTATAAAGTATTTATAGCACACACGTGGGAAGCACGCGTACGTCAATGTGTTCTATGTGTTGATATTGTAAGCATTTTCATATATCAATTAAAACGACAATTTATCAAATGATTGTTATGGTTAATAATTAGAAATGTCCCGACAATTTTTTTTAGATCCTTATGCCTTTTTTCGATACACTTCTGTTGATAATTGGTATATTTATTTAAAAAGTTAGTTTAGTACTTATGTTATTGAAATAGATACGCTTGTAAATGAATATGGAATAGGAGTGAAGTGTGTAATTCATTTTTCTTTTATTTTTTAGTAGTAGATACATCTTGAGGGCGTTAAATTTGGAAATACATGTAAAGAGGATATACATGTATTACCAAGTCTGTCATCGTATATTTTTTGAACGATGATTATAAAGACAAACGAGTTATAACACCGTAAACTCGTCTTTCAGTGAAAAAGTAATGACATATAGGCTCTTAAGAGTATGCCTAATATCTTTGATATGTATAAAAAGGGAACATTAAATGTAAGTATCTATAACCATTTTGGATAACAGATATCCTTCATCAGTATGATTATGATGTAAAATGAAGTGGGGATGTATAAGTACCCTGTCACGTCCTCTCTGTTGTTTTTTGTTATGTGTATTTGTATTCGTATTCAACTGATGAGTTAATATAAAAATAAGGCGATGTGGTAAGATTGACAAGGAGACAACTATCCACCAAAGTTCAAATGAAGTGGATGTAAGTAATTATAGGCAACCGTAAGGCCTTCAACAATGAGAAAACCCTATACCGTATGGTCGGCTATAAAAGCCTTTTTCAACTGATTTTTATAGTTTGTTCTTATTTTATAATGTTACATCACTATCCAAGGTTAAGAGAGGGTTTGACGCCTTCAAACTTGTTTAACCCCACCACATTATGTATGTACCTGTTCCAAGTCAGAAACCTGTAATTCAGTGGTTGTCGTTTGTTGCTCTTTATCATATTTGATTTTCCTTATTTTGTACATACATTAGGCTGTCAGTGTTCTCGTTTGAATTGTTTTACATTTGTCCTTTCGGAGCCTTTTATAGCTGACAATGCTGTATGGTTTGTTTTCTCATTGTTGAAGGCCTTACGGTGACCTATAGTTGTCAATTTATGTGTTATTTGGTCTCTTGTAGAGAGTTGTCTCATTGGTATTCATACAATATCTTCTTTTTTTATTTTACAGATCTTGAGTCAAACTTTGCCATCAACTAAATGTTTGTAACAATTACGACTATTTAAACCAATGTTAAATTTTGAATCCAACTTTATATATTTCTTCTTACTTGTGAAGATGTCATGTTATCATATTTTCCATTGTATTTAAGGAGAAAGAAAAGAGTAAATACATTTCATTTGTCTCCTTTTTTCTGAGAATCAGTTTGAAAATATGGTTAACTCCCATCGTAAATTCAGCGTGTAAGTCAAAGGGAGACAACTTAATTTTTCCATAATAATTACGGAATTCCATAATATTATGGAGTTCGCTAAGTGCCCCGAGCTGGTAAATTTTTTAATTTGTTTTTTTCCCTCACACATTACCTTAAACCTATACTCAATCCTTTTATTGATTATTGGGTTGGATGTTGTACCTTTAAAACCTCGTTACATACTGTTTGATAAACTTGTCTTAAGGTTATATTTTAAACAGTGTAGTAAGGTCTTTGAATATTATCTTTATCTTTACTGACATTAATTTTTTTCTAAAATGAATCAACACTGAAATTAATGTTCATTTCTATACATTTATGAACACATATTGTTGTACATCCTTTCGATACTCATTTTTTTGGCATTGCAACAAGTCCTGATTTTCTTTAACTGTGTATGAAGACTTTCCATTAAATTTACTAGAACACACCCGCGAAATCGCAGGCGTTTAGAGCTTGGTTGAAATTATGTAAACTGTTGTAGGATGAATTTTTGTAAAAGTTTTTATGCCTGGAGAAGTTCAGTTTTTTCCAAAGTCTGTTATTTTTTTTTTGGGTTAAATTCCATGATTTTAAGTTTCTGTATACTATGAACATACGTATATTATGAATAAAGTGTATTTGCTATTAACTATCAATTCCAAGTTTCTTCTCCACGGCGATCACAGCTATATTATATAGAGAGTCTCTATATATTACAGGAGTATAATCATAGTATACATGCAGAATAACGCGAAAAAAATTGTCCTGTCCCCGAGTAATTATGAAAATTATGTTTAAAAGTTTAAAACCGGGAGGTCTTGTCTTTGAATTAAAAGTCAGTTTGATGACGGAATCAATATCCGGACGCCTTTTTTTTTCGTTTTTCTCCAAAAATAACCCAAACTGAATAATCATAAGAATGAATGACAAATGCGATTATGCATGGTACCTATAGTACACAGAGGCATGATGATTAATTTATTGCGGAAGGAAGAGAAGCGACACACAAAATGAGGTCTTCTCGTTTAATAGTATAGATTATGATGTGTTCTAGTTGAAATTTAAATCCGGCAAAATGTGATGTATCTATGATTCAGTAGCTGGGCGTAACACATCAGTCATCTCCTATTTTTGACCCTAAACCTCTACTCAAATCAAATCCTTTACATGAACCAAATCTGTAACAATGTCTCAGGTTAGGAAACAGTTGAATGCTCGTAAAAATGTTCAAGACAGTCTCATTCTCAATATGTCCAACCCAAGGAATGAACCTATTATCTAGTTTTTGTCGTTTCCTGCTGTCTAAAAACAAATGGTATGAAGTATTATTCAGTTTTCGGTTTTTTATCTTTACATTTAGTTAATTTCAACAGTTTATTATCAAGTGTTTTATTTAGAAGGTAACTCTAATTTCCGACCCAAAGGACGCATGATAGAGGCTTTTGCTATAGGTCATATTCGAACAAAGTTTTAAGTTATAGCGACTTAAGAAATGAAAAATAACAATTCCTATCCTTTAATAAAAAATGACACTCCCCTAAATTATGAACATATGTCAATACATAATCAGTATACATTTAAGCCTCATAATTCCCTGTAAACATGTAAATAGGAATTCAAAAACAGAGAAGTTACTACATGTAATGTAACAAGTATTCTCAAAAGTGAATCGAATTCAAAACAAAAGTATAAACTGATTGTGTTTTAAAAATATAACTGGACCACCATTGTCGTTAGAACTGTCACTTTTGTTTAAATTGCAGCGCTTTATCTGGTGTAAAACTAATCTACTTCCATGCAACATTTCACTGTGATAATTTTGAGAAGGTAGATGGGATTTGCAAAGGTAAAGCTATTTTTTCTGTTATTTATCTTGCATGGGACTTAAAGTTCCACGTATTAATCATATTATATTAGATATGTCTTCAATAATATCAATGGTTGCAGCACTGAGTCATAATCACATCTTACATTCATGAATTATGAAAGTGGTCTCGTCAAAAATTCAAACAGTCGAAAGGAAAAAAGAAATCAAAGAAAAAAAATTAAAAACCACAAAAATAAACCTACTTATTTAAGGGAAAATCCAGTGCCATTGAACACTCAAAAGAGCAAAATCTTGGAAGTTACAACTGTAACAATAGTGAAGTCAAAAACAATTACAATGACAATAATTACCAAAATAATATATGGAATTAATGACAAACTGTGAGTACTAAGACTTGCTGCCATTTTGTTTTAAAGTACAAACGTATAAACTATTATCTTTTCATTGCAGCATGTAAAACCGGCTTTATTTCACAGCAAGGAGGAATGTGTTATCCTTGTCCAAGTCCGACATACGGATATCGATGTACAAGTGTGTGTCAATGCAAAGGAAGTAAACGGTATTTACAAAACATATAAACACTTTTATTTTCCAGATATAATTGTCTTTATATACATTAAATTATAGCTTGATTGTAGTAAATTGATTTGACTAAATAAAATATTGAAACAAATTGATGATGCATAAATAAGATGACATTAGTAATTAGTTTTTTTTAATTTTCCGTGTCGATGTCTCTTGTGTAGATGTGGAGTCCATTGCTTAAACATCCTGATTTTACTTTGAAATCATCATACACATACACAAAAGGTTACCAAAATGTCATTCCTATGTTTAATTTTTGGTTTAAAAATTTGAAAAAAATGTATTCAGTGCCAGAAAGGAAAGACAAGCAAAACTTTTAGGAATATTGGGTTCTCAATGATCTTCAACTTCGACCTTTATATGGCCTTTTTAACTTTTATGATTCGAGCGTCATTGATGAGTCGTTTGTAGACGAAACGAGCGTCTGGTGTACAAAATTTCAATCCTGTTATCTATACATATAATGAGTTTATTCCCAAACTGATCTCGACATTTGTACTCAAGTATTGTGATTTA